GAGGTATCCAGGCTGATCCCACCAGACCCCTCTACATAATATCCCTGCATGGTGGGGTTGGAAGGGATCTCTGGGATCACCTCATCCACCCCCCTGCTCCAGCAGCTCACCCACAGCAGGGTGCCCAGGGTCACAGCCAGGAGGGTTTGGGATCTCTCCAGAGCAGGAGACTCCACAGCCTCTCTGGGCAGTTCTGGTCTTTTGGAGCCAGCAGAGCCTGTCCTCTTGCTGCAGGTGTCAGGTGCCTCTGTGGCATGTTCTCCTCTAAATCATAACCTGACCTGTAGAGCCCTGGGCTGGAAAACTGGGAGGATATTTCCCCTGTGAGGGCTTCTGAGCTGTTGCTCTGTGGAGATGCTCTGGAGCCCCTTTGTATGGGGTCCTCTGAGAAGGATTTAGCAGCCCAAAGGGATCTGTGATTTCCGGTAAATCTTAGTTTCCCTTCTAGGTTCTGTGTTCCCTAACACAGAAACTTTGATACTTGCACTGTGTCTTGGTTGGTGTCTCCTCAGGACGTGGTTCTGCCCCCGGGGGGGACACCAGCCACCCAAGAGGGATCCTCATCCTCCAGGCCTGGGAGCAAGGGCAGCGTGGCTGGCAGGGTTCAGGTGCCCAACCAGGAGAGCTGGTGGAGGTTTCTGTGAGTGCTGTAGGAAGCTGATGTTCATGTCAACACCACCAGCTCTTCTCTGCCTCCTTTGAACCTCTCTGGTGTCAGTGGCAAAGGCCTTTTTCAGTACCCTTGGAAGGCTGAGATGTGAGGAGCTGCCAGGCAGCGCTGTTAGAGAGGTGCCTGCTCTCCTGAAATGCTTCCTGTGTGTGGTGCTTGGGGAGATTTGGGCTGGGATCAGATCTTCCTGGGGCAGCTGCTGTTCTGCAGCCCTGCTGATGCTCTGCTCGAGCATTCCATTTTCCATTCCTCACATTCCTCTGGCTGCTGCTGGGAGAAGACCCAGAGCAGGCTCCCTGCTGCTGCTTGCAGGTAGGCTGCTCAGCCAGGCTGGAGAGCACAGGGCACATCTATAAACCCTGAGTGGGAAATCCCTGCATCCCAGCCCGTGTCCCCTTCCCCTCTTTGGGTGTACTTAAGAGCTGTTGAAGCTGGAAGGTGTTTTGCATCCGTTCCAGTGAGGCTTTGGGATGGGTTGGAACTGGAGGTGTGCCTCCTTGGTGAATCTCAGAAATGGTTCTGGGTCACCCTGAGAGCTGCACCACGGTGGACACCTCCTGGTCAGCACAGGGCTTCCAAAAGCAGTCCTTCAAAGGGTCCTACTCACCCCTGGCTGACAGGCCAGAACTCCCTGATGGCAGCAGCTCAAGTGCCTCTGTGTCACTGTTTGTTGCACCTCTGAGCCTACATTTAATGATATTAATCTTCAAACTGTTAGTTGTCCTCATTCTTGGTTTTTCCTGTCTCTCTGCTCCACAGCAAGTGCTTTCCCATTGCTTTTTTTTTTTTGAGTCTCCATCTGTTGTGTTTGAAGGCAGTTCATACCCTGAGAATGAGAAGAGGGTGAAGCTGCCCGAGTCTCCCAACAACCCACAGTCCTCCATAAGCATGGGCTGCTTCTCCTTCTGTCTGGGAGTGCCTGTTTGCCTGAAAACCCAGCAAAAAGATATGTGACATTCCCCTGCTGCTGTGAGGGTTGGTGGGGTGGGATCATATCCCTGCCCCTGTCCTGGGGGTAGTGCAGGGGGGAGGGTGTTTGGGTAAGGGCTGCAGAGGCTCTTTGGAGGAGGACTTGTGAATTCGTAGCCCTGTGAAGTGAGTCTCTCTGTTTCCACCCAAATGTGGGAGGAGGAGGAGGAGGGTGCTGGATCCCTTCTCCAGGGGAGGGGCTGGGGAGCTTAGCTGTAGGGGAGGGGAGATTTAGGGAGTCCTGCCTGTGCTTAAGACATGTGATAACACAACCTCAAGAGCTGAAATCCCAAGAAGTGTGGCAGTTGTGCCATCACTCGTGCAAGCACTTGCTTTACATTATTTATGAGTGCTGCATGATCTGGAGGCCCCAGCTGAGGGGGAGACTCTGGACAAAGACCCAAAGATTCTTTCATCATCAGGTTTGAACTACTTACTTTACATTATTTATGAGTGCTGCATCATCTGGAGGCCCCAGCTGAGGGGGGGACTCTGCACAAATACCCAAAGATTCTTTCATCATCAGGTTTGTAGTCCAGGTATGCCATGCAGAAGAGGTGAACCAAAGAGCAGGGAGGAAGCAGAGAGCTCCAGGGGCTTCCCTGAGGTTGCAAGAGAGGCTGAGTGGGGTTCAGAACTCGTGGGACCATGGCCAGTGTGTTACCCAAAAGCTTTGTCTGCCCTCTTCTTCACCACCCACCCTGCCTGTGCTCTAAGGAACCACTGAAATAAGCAGATCCTGGTGGCCAGTGCCAGACTTCTCAGCTGCTGGAACCCAGCTTGAAACTCGGCAGGTCTCCATGATGCAGAAGAACAACAAAAAGCTGTTGTTGAGAGAGCTCCAGCAACTCTGCTCAGCCCCTCCTGAGGGATCTGGCATTTGCAGACAGCCAGGACAGCACTTTGAGACGCCTGGAAAACATTATCCAGATCCCTGTTTGTCAGATGATATTGGGTTGAGTTTTGAGGTTTGTGTTTGTTTGGTTTTTCTTCAGGGATTTGGTTGTTTTGTTTTTGTTTTTATTGTTTTAGAGCATAGATTTTTTCTGGGTGTTCAGGGCCAACCAGCAGGCCCTGGACTGTGCTGCTGCTGCAGTCTGGGTGCCTGGCAGATGTTGGCACAGAACTGTGGCCAAGGACAGCTCGGGGGTCCCCTGGGCAGCTCCAAGTGTGCCCACAGGCCAGCCCCAGCCCCGTGCCCAGGACTCACTGAGGAGGGGAGGTGGGCACGTGTGGAGGCCCTGGGCACATCCCACCCCAGGCACATCCCAGGGCACAGCTACTCTGTGCCATCCTGCCTCTCTTTGGGGCTCAGTGTCCCTTTTTGTGGAGTGGAGAAGTCTCAGTGGTCTCCTTTATAAAGAGCTTGGGGATTTAGGGCTTGTTGCCCTCGGAGAAGAGGAAAGCAGCTGTTGGAAGCCCCGAGAGGTGGGTGGCAGGAACCTGGTGGAGCACAGGCATCCACAGCCTCTTTCTTCTGAGGCACCTTTTGCTAGTGTTTGGCTCTTGTCCTGCAGAAAAGGGATTTTGGGTGAACCATTTTTGGCCTGTCTGTCCTCACTGCAGATGTCTGTCTGGTCGGTCTGTTTAGCCCCTGAACTCTGCTGCTGGCAATGAGGGTATCAAGACGTAGCTCTACCTTGGACAGAAAGTGGTTTCTTGACCAGGATCCTTCCTGAGCTGCTCATTCCTGGAGAGCAGAGTTCCCTGTCTCCTCAGGTGGGCTGGGACAGCCCCAGGGTGAGCAGCACCTTCCAGCTGCACGGGTGGAGGGGCAGCTTGGGGGAGGGCTCAGTAGCCAGAAGCATCTCCATATGATGGCAGGGAGGAGGTGATGCTCCTTCCTGTGGGTGCCCTGCTCAAGCCAGAAGCATCTCCATATGATGGCAGGGAGGAGGTGATGCTCCTTCCTGTGGGTGCCCTGGCTCTGAAGGAGACTCTTTCAGAGCATCTTGGCAGATTTGCTGGGACAACAGCAGGATTTTTTTCCCTGAAGCTGGCATCAGGTTTCAGCACAGATGAAGGAAAGCAAACTGCGTGTGTTCTGCAGATTATTGTTGTGTGATACTTCACAAACTGCACAAATGCAGCAAAATTCTGCATGGACAATGGAGGGAGAGGTATCAGCCCCTCTGCTGATGTCTTGGGGTTGAGGGTTTCCCTTTCTGGGTGCTGATCCAGACTTTGCTGGTTGTTTCTGAGCAGAAACTGGGAGTGAGATCTGGAATCACAAACACGTTACTTGAAGTAAGGTTTCTGTCATGACTTCCTTGACCTCGTAGCTCAGGCTGTGCTGGAAGGAACTCCTTTAATGCAGATGTGACTGAGTAACCCCAGCCTTAAGTTCTGGGGGTGCAGGGGAGTTCAGGCTTTGCTTTCTGTGGCTTTCAGCCTGCCCGGGAGAGGGGCTGCCGTGGAGGGATCCCCTTCTGCCACCCCACTGATGTGGATGGGGGGCTGCTGAGCTTCCAGGGAACCTCATCCTTCATCTGGGATGAGAGGAGTCGTCTGGTGGGTAGTCCAGGGGGCAGGGAGGCAGTCACAAGCCTCATCCTGAAGCAAAGCCCCCAGTGAGGGAACAGGATATGTCTGTTGTGTGCTTAGAAGGTGACGTGAGCCACAAAGCTGCAAGTGAACAAGCTCCCTGGGCTCTGGAGCTCTCAGGCCAGCTCAGCTCGAGCCTCACAGCTAATGGGATAAGGGTTTTACTGGTGTCTCTTTACACCCAGAGACCTCCTCTGCCCTGCATGCACTCAGCTCCCCAGCACACTGAAAGATCACACTGGTGTCAGTGGCCTCAGCCGAAATCCCTCTGCCTGCAGTGGCACAGTCTGCTCCAGGTCTCCTGGAGGCTTTTAGGACCTGCTTGCTAATCCCTGCTCTGTGCAAAGTGTTCTGAGGAGCTGGAGGCAACCTGCTTTCTGAGCTGCCCTGGAACTGGGGAGGGAGAGAGGAGCAGGGGCAGAGCCTGCACAGGGACTGCCTGTCCCCACACAGACACACTCTGCTTTCCAACAGGCCCACGTGGACCGTGGCCAGGGGCATGCTGCCTTGGAGTAGTCTCCTGAGAAGTCCCAGCTGCTGTTAGAAGAGTTGCATCCTTGTAAAAACAGCTAATGAGTATGGATGTTCCAGTATCTGGGTGTTGGAGGAGTTATTTTAAAAGATAACTGAATTGTTAGAAAATCCTCAACACTCCTCTGGCAATGATTTGAAGGAACCTGGCTTTGTCCTTGCTCCTGAAAATCCAGGTTTCTGTGAGCTTAGGTAAATACTTGGTCTTAATGCTGCAGGATCATGTGCTCTGAGCCCATGAAAATGCATCCAATGAACCAAACTCTCTGTCTTTCTTCTCCCCCAGAGCGAACTTCCCATGACTAACAAATGCTGGCCTAGATTATGAGCTCAAACAAGAACACTCGCTACAATCGTTTCTCCAGTGGCACAACAAACATCACTACTGCTGAAAACACTAACGGGGTAAGGGAGGCTGGGGGCTGGGGCTGCTGCTGACCTTCTCCTCCTCCCTTTTGGGAAAATTGAAGTGCCTGTTGAAAATATGGCGTTTTCTTGGCTCTTAAAAATTGTGATATCCACAGATAAGGGTTGGGAATATGTATGTAGGTTTTATCACCACTTCAGGGAAGGTAGCAGGGCTTTGGGCTGTGCTGCACAACACCACTGACCTTCCTTTTGTCAATATTTCAGACAAGAATGGAAACAACTTTTGGGCCAGCCTACTCTGCTGTGACAACCATCACAAAGGGTGAGTGTATTGCACGTGCAGAGCTTGTCCCCAGAGCACTGCCTGTGAGCCCTACCAGGTTTTATTTCACAAACCATAAAGCTGTTGGGAGGAGCACTGTGCTCGTCACAGATGAGTGCTGAGGTGCTGGGTTTCGTGTTGTGCAGCCCAAGTGTTACTGAATCACAGCATCTGATCACCAGGCGTGATGGAAATGAGCATGCACAGACATCTTCTCCCATTAGGCAGACTTGACAGCACCGCTGGGAAGCCCTTGCTGAGATTAGGGTAGTACAGCAGGGTTTGATACAGAGCTCAGTGCCAGGGCTTGTTTACCCCTGTGACTTCTCACACAGGAGCTGCCAGCACTGAACATTCCCAGCCGTGCTCTGTGAGTCACGCTGGATGCTTTGACAACCCCCCCTTGGCCATTTTTAGCTCAGATGGGGGGTGTAAGTGTACCTCCTCATTTAAAATGCCCATGCTTGGCTCCTCCAAGCCCAGCAGGTGAGCAGTCCAAGCCCTGACACAGGGGGTGAAGGGTGGAAGAGGTCTGCTTTCCTCTGGGGAATAAAATATCCCTGCTTTACTAGAGATAAACCGTGGCACTTGACACTGATTTAGATAACGCAGTGAACATCTTGGATTACATTTGTCCAGGACTCAGGACTCTGATTGGTTTTGGAGGCCTGAATGTTTACATTCACATTTTTATATAAGTCAGCAATACGATCTGTATACAAATATCTCAGATTTAATTTAACATGCTCCACTTGTGCTGCAAGCACGTCCAGATCTCTCACTTGAAGCCATTTTTGTTGGCGACTGAGATACGTGGGAGTATAAAGTTTCCTTTTAATAGTATTTTTAACCTGTGGACCTGGTAGAATATTATCTGTGCTCTTCTCTGGGCGAGCTCCCTTCAAAGGGCTGTGTGTTTTTCAGCAAGCTCTGGGAGATCAGGATTGTTCTGCCAGCACTGATACGTCCCAGTCAGGAACCGGAGCTGGGGAATCCCGAGACTCTTCCTTTTCTAAGGAACATTTAGCTACAGAGACTGAGCTGTAGCTTGAAAATGTTACCAAGGAGCCTTAAGTGCTTGCTTTTTTAAGTGTTATTTTTCTTTATTTGCTTTCAAGCTGATGGGACCAATACTTTCAAGCAGCACCGTCGGACCCCGTCCTCCTCCAGCACACTCACCTACTCCCCCCGCGACGAGGACGATGGCATGGTAGGTGTTGCCAGGAGCCCCCCCTGCCTTAGCTGCTTGCATGCCAGCTGAGAGGTGTCTGGTGCTCCTCTGGACATCTCTGCCTCCCTCACTGTCCCCGTGTGCTGAGATGTCTGTGCCCGAGGCAGGACCAGCCTCAACATTCCCTGGCTGCTCTCCTGGCGAGGAACCAGAGGCTGCTTCTGCCCTGGGGCACTAGGCTGGCACTGCTAGTGCTCCTCTTCACGCTGCTTGATCATGGGATGTGTTTACAAAGCTACAAACCCCCCAGGCCTACCTGTGAGGGTGTCCCTGCCTCCTGGTGTGAGCAGCATGCTCTGAATCCCTGAGCCTGGAAGGGAACAGAGCTGCTGTCAGCAGTGTGGGGCTGTGACCCAGAACAGTCGCTCTCCCTCGGGGTGTGTTGGGTGGACCACCCAGCAGCACAGCACAGCGAGCCCTGCAGTTAGGACCAGAGAATCCATTCCTTTTCCTACCTCCAGATGGGGCTTCTGACCACAGGGAGCAGGTTTGAAACCTGCAGATGGGATGTCGGACACTGCTCGGCTGCCGGGGGTCACTCACACAAACCATTCCCATGTCTCATAGTTTCTGTGCAGAAAAACACCTCCCAGGTTTCTATCTACCTTCCTTATTCATCATGCTCACTTCTGAGAAAATTCTTTCCAGGGAATTTAGTGATCAAACAGGCCTCAGGGTTAACTGCTTGAAGAGAAATTAAATCAAGTCAAGAACAGCAGCCAAGCAAACCTCAGTGAGTGGAGGGATAGCTCTGAGGCCTTGACCTTCTCCTGTCCCTAGTGCTCCAGCCACATCTCATAACCACCAGCTCCTATTTAGATTGAAGCATGGTAGCAACAAACTTCAAAGTCATTATTTGTGGACTTTGTCAGGTTACCAGACCCAGCTTCCAAGCCAGGGATAAATGGATCCTGGTGAAATTAGGCACTGGCACAGTCTGGGGTCAGCAACACCACGGAGCTCGAGCACTTCTTAAACCTGACAGCAGATTGCAGAGAGCTTTGTTGTCAGCATCCTGTAAAGTTCCTTCTGTTGCTCGGAGATCTTGCTGTGTTTTATGTGAGTGTGTGTTTGTTCTTTGGTTGGGTTTTGTTTTATTTTTTTTAAAAAGTCCTTTGAATATTTGCCTCATGTCCTTGGCAAATGCAGCTCTCCACCACGTCGCTGACCCCAGGGTGCTGGGCTGCTGTTCCAGGAAGCCCTTGGCTGTCAGCACAGATCCTGTGGGCTGAGGGCTGTGCTCACTGCACCCTTCTCACGAGCTGTGCAGCTCTCACAGAGCGTGGGTGAGGATTTTTCCAGAGGAGCTGGGGGTGCTGGAGATGCTCCATTTAGCCATGGCTGATGGAGAAGCTCCTGACTCCTTTGGAAACCTGTCTCACGATCTAAGGTGTGCAGCCACAAACAGGAGAGATCTCTCTTAGAACCAAGCCTCAGTCCTCCTGGACAGTCTCAGCCCACCTTCCATGGAGTGCTAAACACCCTTAAGCAAAAATAGCAAGAGGATGAATGAGTGGCTCAGGAAGCAGCCTGCAGTGTGAGGTGCTGACAATCCAGCCGTGCCACAGCTCGGCTCTGCCTGCTGCTGCAGACTCACTGACCCTTTTAGGAAGCTTCCTTTGCTTTGTCAAGACATAATCTGGGATTTCCCTTGCTCATCACTAAGTTTTCCCTCCTCCAGAAGCTGCCACGGGCTTGTCAGCCATCAGAGAGACAGCTGGAGATGAGTCAGAGCCGTCCTGTGACCTCCACCACCCCTTTTTCCTTCTCTTTAAAGCTTCTGTTAGTGAAACTGAAAGCAGAGCAGTGTGTGCTGGGGGCAAGGCAGGGACTATTGAGTGGCTGCTGTCATCTTTCCTGAGAGCAGTGCCACGGGTTCCCAGCCTACAGGGAGCAGGAACGAGGCCCCTGCTAGAGCCTCCATGTGGAGGCTGCTTCTGGAGCTGACGCGATGAGAACTGCACCCAAAGGTGGCAGCTGAAGGCTGGGGCAGCTGCATACTGCTGGCTGAGGAGCTGGCTGGCTGTCCACAGGCTCAGTTGTTAACAAGAAACTTCCCCTCTGAACCAGAGCTGGGCTGAGTTACCCACCAGCCACACATTACCCATCTTCCATCTGCAGGTGTTTGAGCTCTCCATCCTGGGGCGTTTGAGGATGAGCTTGATGTTTAGTGCAGAACTAGCCCTGGTACAGAGGCAGGGAGGTGGGACCCTTCTGGCAGATCCTCCCAAGTCCCTGCCTGGCTGAAGCAGTGCCACTTGTTCCACCTTGCCCCTGGACTCAATCCATGCAGCAGGGTCTGGTGCTCCTTGGCTTTGGTGCATACGAGTCCTGTGATCCTTGCTCCTGTTACTCTCTTTGCTGTGCAGGAGCACCATGCAGTGGTTCTCCTCGTGCTGAATGCTCTACATACAACTAAAACTTACTGCTTCAAAGCTCAGTCTAAATAGCCAGGCTAGGAATGGGAAGCAGAGTAGTGGCTGACCCTGTAGAGCTCAGGTCTCCTGACTCTTGCCCTTGTTTGCTTGGCAGCAACCAAGGCTGCAGGTACATGGAGGGGCAGGCAGTAAAAGCCAGCACACACCTCTGCTGTGCAGTGTTATCTCTGCAGCCCAAGTGAAATGATCCTTGCAGCACATCAGCTTCTCTCCTGTATAGTTACTACCAGCCAGGACACAGAGCTGAGCCCACAGTGTGGCACAAGCCTGGCAAGGCTGTGTCCCACACCCCAGCCTCCTGGGAGTGCTCCTGGGCTGTGGTCCCCCCTCTGTGTCCTGATCCACCCAGGATGCTCCTTGCTAAAACTGTCTACCCTGATGGCTGGGTCACCTCCAGAACAGGAACCATGCACAGTCATTCTTGTTCTTTTAATAACTTCAGTTACTGCTGGAGGAAAAGAGTAAAATTAATGGATACCCATAAAATTGGTTTACCTCGTTGTAACTGTTCCTTGTCAAGTTTTACATATTTAGCCAATAAATACACTGTCTTTTACAAAAAGAGCTTTATACTTTGGCTTCTGGCAGATGGATGCAGCATTTCTAAGCTGCTAGGATCCCAGTATGGTGATAATTAAGAAGGGGAGCAGTGTGAGGATCCAGCAGGCTCCTGGGCTGCTCCTCTGCTGCAGCTCGGTCTGTCCCTGGGGAGCACACCAGGCACTCAGCCTCCTCCTGCATCTTTCATAGCCAAATCTCCTGGCTGCCCCACTGGCCTCCTGCCCTGCTTTTCTGTGCCCTGGGGTCCCACCTCACACACTTCCACCCAGGGCAAGCACGCAGGACAGGCCTCAGGAGACTGGCAGAACATGAGGGAAAACGTTGAGCTCACAAGGTAGCTCAGTGTGGGGATGTGGGGTGGCAGAGTCTCCTCTGTGCAGCTTTCCCTGTTCCAGCTGGGCAGTGCCAGGGCTGACCTGATCCAGGGAGAGTTCCCTGGGCAGCAGGGCTGGTCACCTCCAGGCTCCTGCCAGCCAGTCCTTTGAGGAGTCTGCAACTGCCATGGGCTGTAGGTGTGGCATGTGAGGTGCAGGTTTGGTCATCTCTTGATGCTTAGTGTCTGAAGCTTTTGGCTTCATGCTTCCATGTCCTTGCTGGCCCCTCTGCTGCACTCCTTGGGAGCTTCCAGTGAATCTCTGCACTCTTCCCAGTCTGCCAGCAGCAGAGCAACCCAGCAGTGGCTGTGCTGGACCCCCACCTCCAATCCCCCCATGGCCCCAAGAGTCTCTGGCGTTGCTGTGCTGCTGGATTGTCCCTCAGCTACACGTTGCAGGTTGATATTCCACCCGTGGAGACGCTCTGCTGGTTGATATTCCAGCAGCAGCCTTCCCTCCAAGCCAATCCCCAGGCTGCTGGGGCCGGTGGGATTTTCCTTGATTGGTGCAGGCAGTGTCCACTGAGCTCTCCCCTGGAGCAGGAAGCGACAAAGCCAGGCTGCTGCTGAATTGAATAGCAGGAAGTCTCCACACTTACGCAGAGAAATTTGGCAGAAGTTAGATAGCGAGCGCCACAACAAGTGCTGCTGCAGAGATTGCAGAGCTGAGGGAGCTGGGAGCTGGCTCTGGGGGAGGTTTGCAAAGCTTTCAGTGAGGATTAATCCCTCCTAAGCGTGGCTTTGGGCGGGCAGGGTAAGTGGACAGACGAGTGGACCTTTGAGAAAGTGGAACGCAGATGTCCGTGTGGTTTGGTGAGGAAGAGTGGAGCGCAGCGCTCCTGGCTGCTGGGAAAGGCTCTTCCTGGGGGGGCCACTCGCCACGGCTCGCCGAGTTCTGGGGGAGTCTGTGCGTGGGGTTTGGAGCAGGGGGGAGCTCTCTGCACTAACCAGACCTGTGCCTCTCTCTGCAGCCTCCCATCAGCACCCCGCGCCGCTCGGACTCGGCCATCTCTGTCCGCTCGCTGCACTCCGAGTCCAACATGTCCCTGCGCTCCACGTTCTCACTGCACGAGGAAGAGGAGGAGCCAGTAGGTATTTGGGATTGTCTGTAGGTGCGCTGTGAGGAAGTTCAGTGTCACAAGAGTAGCTTAGTGGGTTCTTGTGAGTGCATAGAGCTGTCACGGGCGGATCTTTTGCGATGCTGGGCAGCTGAAATCCTGGCTATCAGCAGGCCTGGGTTTGATTTTGTTTGCACCACTGACTTCTGTGAGTTACTTTGCTTCCCTGTGTACCATTTCCCTGTCTGTAAAGGGGGGACAATGGTGAGGCTTTTCTGCTTCTCAGGAAAAGTCTTTGCAAAGTTCTGTGTGACTCCCTGGCCCTGCTGCAGAGCAGGAGGGGCTTGCAAGGCTTTAGGCTGGTGGTCCAGCCCCAGGCAGCAAGTCTAATACAGTTGTGCCCTGATTCAGAGCCCTGTCCTGCATTGAGGGCTGCGTGGCTCCACACTGACTTGATTCTGAGCCCCAGGAGGGTGCAGGGATTGGTCCACACGTGACTCTTGTTGGGGGAGGACACTTTTCTAAGCTGGTCTTAGCTTGTGACCCAGTAACTAACCCCAGACTGGATGAATAAAAGGTCAGGCAGCATTTTGCCATAGATCTGGGATAGAAGCGTGTGTTTCATATTTAGGAACCCAGGGGGGTGTGTTTGCATTTCTGAGAGCAGCCCAGGATGAAACAACAGGCTGAACTGTGGGGGTTGATTCAGAGAGCTCTGAAATGTGGAGCCCTGCTCTGGCGTGGTGGGGAGAGCTGTGCTGCCCTGGGAGGACGTGCCCAGAGCCCGTGCTCCAGCAGTCCTCACTGCTAAACAAAGCTGGAGAGATGGCCCCGTTGCTGCAGAAACAACATTGTTTCTGCTTCATAAGGGGATGAAAGAGCCTTTCCTTCAGGATGTTTCAAAAATACAAAAGGACAAGCGGCTTTAAAACGGCTTTTAAAATTCAGGCTGAATAGAGAGGACCTTTCTGACAACACTGTTCAGTGGAACCAAGCAGAAAGCACCAGCCAGTGCAGCTTGCTCAGTCCTGGTGATTTGAGTCACTCTGGCAAAAAAGTTGGTCAGTGCAGTTTGCTGTTGGGTCCTGATCCTGCCCAATGCTGGTGGCCCCCAGTTTGTGATGAGCTGAGAGTCTCCAGCCTTTCCTGAGTTCATTCTTCTCCTACCTCCTACATACTGGAAGTCAGCAGGTCCAGAGAAATTTTGAGATTATGAAATCTCAGGTGTGCCCTGTGCCCCTGGCTCCCCAAGGCTCACTGCTGAAGAGGTGTTTGGTGCCTTCTGCAGCACTGGAGGCTCTTGTGTTTGCACTAATCCTTTTGCTCTCTCTGTCCCTTTCTCTCCTCCTCTCCAGGAGCCACTAGTGTTTGCTGAACAACCATCTGTGAAGCTGTGCTGCCAACTGTGCTGTAGTGTGTTTAAGGATCCAGTCATCACAACCTGCGGGGTAAGGCAGAGCTCTTCCAGACCACGAGCCTGGGCTCCACAGTTGTCCTGTGTGACCTCCAGCCAAGCCCTGACTGTCCCCAGTGACTGTCCCCAGTAGCTGTCAGCCTGAGTGAGCACAGATGAGGCAGCCCCTGCCCGGGGAAGCCAGGCCAGCATAGGAGCAGAGATGCTGATGGACATGTGTTAGATTTCCCCACAAGGCAGCTCTGAACCACGCTGCACTGGGGTGTGAGGAGCATGCTGCAGTTAGCTAGAGAAGCCTGAGGCTTGCTTAAAATTGGGCAGCTTTTCCCAGGAGAGCTGCACTGTCAGCCTCCCTGTCCCAGCCATGTTCAGTCTCCTTGGTGTGGCTTCAGTGAGGTGTAAAACTGCTCGTTCCCCCTTGAGAAGGGCTCTGTGGAGTGCTGCTGCCTCCCGGGCACCCCAGCAATGGCAGCTCTGCAGCTGGGAAGAGAGTTTCTTATAAAACAAGAATGGCTTGAAGCTCCATTTAGTTAATGCTTGCAAAGGGATTTGAGATCCTCTAATGAAAGGCACAGAGCATTATGAATATTCTTCTGTCTTCCATTTTACTGGGATTTAATAGGAACTGTATATTATTCCTGCCTGTGTGCTGTGTGTAAAGATGGCTTCGTGATGGGCTCTCTAATGCTTCTGACGTGCTTCTGCTCGCCAGGATGGGGCTGCAGCAGCAAAAGCAGAGAGCTGGGTTGTTTATTGCAGCGAGGGTGCTGTCCCCAAAGGTGCTGGAAGCTGGTGCAGTTTCCCTGCGCCATTTCAGGGAGCAGCAATTCATGAAGACACTGAGATTTACTGGTTAATATGGGAAAAAAAAATGCTGCAGGAAGCAGCCCGGCTTCATTTGCAGCGGCGGTTTGGCAGCTCTGGAGAGAGCACCATGCAGCTGCACAGGGCAGGAAAAGGCTGCGTGAGCTGGGCAGCAGATAAGGGCTCCGAGGAGGGACGTGCAGCCTCTCCAGCTCTGCTGCCAAGTGCTGGCCCTGGGGCAGGGCAGCGTGGCCAGGGGGGCTCCAGGGAATGCAGGGGGCACGGCCAGGACCAGGGAAACGCTGCAGTCGCCGTTGCTTTCTTTATGTTCATTAGTATGTTAGATTGTGTTTGCTACTTCATCAAGTTAAATTGTTCTGCTGTGAGACAGGGGAGAGAGAGAGCTGTCTGAAGTGGCAAAATTTCCAGTGGATTTAATGGGCTTACAAAGCAGCTGTCAGCAGGACAGCTTTGGTTACGTTGGAGGAGCTACAGAGGGGTGGATGTGTGTGATGGGCTGACTGGGCAAGGACAAGGAGAGGCTGGACTTCCCCTCTCTCTTCCCACTGAGGACTTCTCAGGGGAGTGAGAGGAATGACATGGACTAAAGTGGAGGGTGAAGAGGAGCCCCGTGCAGAGCTGGAGGGTGGGAATACCAGTGTGGCAGAACATGTGGTTTTGGCTTGACTGTGATCCCAAGCAGGGCAGAACCCTCAACCCATGTGCTTAGTACTGCTCAGGAACAGGCCCCGTGGTTCACTCTTAGCTGCCTGAGCAAGCAGCTGCTTTTTGCCCTGTGGTGCAGACTCGAGAGCACGCTGAGCCATCAGGCAGGCAGAGCAGCTGCTGAGGCCCCTGAGCCACAGGCTTTGGTATCTCTCACCTTTCCCATCGTTAGCCACGGGGAATAATTTGTCTGATATTGTTTGTGCTGACACTGCTGTTCCTCTTTGTCTCCACAGCACACATTTTGTAGAAGATGTGCCTTAACATCTGGTGAGTACAGGACTGTTCTCGTGTGATGCAGCCAGAACACTGTTATTTTCTGGTTTGTTTGCTTTCACTTAAGAAGAAACCCGCAGAAAGAAGGGCTTAAAACAAGCTGTCAGTGGCTGGCTGCTGCTGCAGCAGTGAGGAGCTGGGGCACAGGGAGCTCTGCAGCTCTGAACTCCAATGGGGCACGCTGTAGGATGGGCACTAGAGCTGAGCCCAACTCTTGGGCACAGGATGTTCTCGAATCCTGGAATATCCAATGGATAATCCCAGGATAATACACGTCTCGCCTAGAGCTGACCCACTGATTCCAGACCAAAAGCTTTCTGTGGCTGCCTCTCTAAGGAACAGGGGGGGGTGTTTGGCACCACCCAGCCCCTCCTCTCCCACGCCGTTAGTGCCAGCTCTCTGGCCGCTGGCTGAGCCTGGGCACAGCAGCTCACAGAGCTGATTTAGCTCACCCGGCTCTTCCCCAGACCTGCTGGAGCCCGAGTGTCTGGCTGCTGGCCTGACCTAACCAGCTCCCACTTAGTTTGGACTCTGTGCTACAAAGAAAAGGCTTTTTGGAAGCCATTGTTCAGCACAAGGCCAAACCATCCTATGAGCAGAACAACGAGCCCTGAGGAGGCTCCCTGGGCACTCCAGCAAAGCAGCAGCTCTTTCTACCTTTAGATGTTGGTCTTGCACGTGTGAGAGGTCCCTCAGCTTTGCACCTTACTCCCCCATCACTGTGTTGTGCTCTGTCTATCCCAACCGGCCGATTTGTGGCACCAGGCTTTGCAGTGGAATCCTGAGTGGCTCCGTTTGGCTCCTGCCCTCAGGACTCTTGTCTGTGCTTGGTGGCAGTGTCCCTGGCCTGCAGGGTCCTGCTGGCAGCAGAGGGGCCTGGTGGGGAATGGGTTGTGTGGGGAGCATCTGCTGACTCGTGGTCACTGCCTGTGAATACTCTCACACTTCAGCAAGCACGAGGTAGTCTGAATTAGTGTGGCCTTCTTTCATTGGTTAGCTTAAATTATCATGGATTAACATGTACTGTAACTTCTCCCCAAGCCCCAAGAGACAGAGCCTTGCAGACCTTGTGTCAGTATTCATGGCACACTCCATTGCCACCCCTCTGGGAGCTGGCCAGGTCGGCCAGAGCAGCCAAAAGCATAAGATCTCCACGCAGAGTCTCTTGGAAATGCTCCGGCAGGCTCTCCATCCTTGCTGACTCTCTTTTGCTCCCCTGCCTGGCAGAGAAGTGCCCCGTGGACAACGCCAAGCTGACGGTGGTGGTGAACAACATCGCGGTGGCCGAGCAGATCGGGGAGCTCTTCATCCACTGCAAGTACGGCTGCCGGCCC